GATGCGTTGCTGTCGAAAGGCGGCGAACAAACTATCCCGAGGTCCGCTTGATTGGCTGGTCGCGAAGTTCGTTCGTCTTGCTGCGCGCGGGTCACAGCATCGCACAGTTGGAACACGCTTGGGTTGGCGGAGAGAGGAGCAGCTCCGTAGCTCGAGAAGGCGACGACCGGTCTCGGCAGAATTTTTTGCTGATTTTTTATGCACCGCGGGATTGGCGTCAGAGGATGATGCATAAGATGGCGATGTCCGAAGCAACAAGTTTAGAGGGGAGCTTCAGTGCTGAGTTACGCGACGCGATGGGGGAAGATGTTCCGGAGTGGCCCCGCGTCAGCTAGTTGGGCAATTGCTGTGATAAGAATTAGTAGATACCTGAGTTTCTGTGGGTTGCACATACAAAAGGCAGGTACCTTTCTTGCGCAACGCTACTAATATTTTCTCCTTCGTCCGTTTGGCATTGTTTATTATGCCCGGGTAAATTAAATTAATTGCTACCACTGGTTCATGGCCTCAGCCTGTTTCACCATTTGGCCGTTTCTAACGGAAGTCGAGCTTTGTTATGACAGCAATCGGTCTGGCTGCATGTTTTAAACAGAAGAACTCGAGAGGCAGAGATTTCGACAGCGGACGTAGAGCGCTGAGGGTTCAACAGCCCCTATTTTTCGCCATTAAGGAAAACATAATGCCCACTGCATGTATTGTGATGACGATGCTTCACAGACATCGTCATATTTTGATATTTAGGATTAGAGTACATGAACCACCACTCCCAAGGCTTGTTCCAGCTGCCGTCGTTTCATATTCAGCAACCCAGTGGTAACAATATCGAGTTGTTAAAGGATTTAGTCCATTCGGACAGCTAGCCAGATAATATTAACCATTTGCATACATCCAGCGGTAGAATAGAAACCTTACTGGTCATCCTTAATCTCGGCGGTAGTAGTAGGACAACCGACGATGATATTACTAGTAGCCATGCTGTATAATGGATGGATTGTTATGTTATCACGGACAATAATACTGTTCTGAGATCGAATAGACAAATTCCAGTTTAACGCTGTTGATATTTGTCTATATTCGTAGTTGCCTGCTTGATTTGACCAACGTGCAGACTCATATCGCTCAATCCATCGAATATCTGGTCCATTTCGGCGGTTATCTGCATTATGCAAAGTAAGAATAGGAGTGTCTGCGTACTAATAAATCAATCTGATCCGCTGCATGTCGCATCTAGTTGCAAATAAGCGGGAAATAAGGAGGGAAAGAATCGGACGTGCAGCGTAATGCGGGTTTAAGCCATTTTTAATCATGCCTTGAGTACCTAGGTAGGTAGTAATTCCATGTAATAATGCCAAGGTACCATTGGAATTTACTTGGGATGCGAAAACGACATCTGACTTCCAGATACACCTCCATGGAGAGAGGTTGGTGGTAGTCTCCTGTCGATGCTTTGGAGAAGATGCCAACGTCTTGGTATACATGTATGAAGCCTCCCAGCGATAAAGCTGTTGGAGAATGCCTTTTGAGTTCAACCCTCTCAAAGTATCATCCATGTCCCTGTACTCGTCAAGCTTGGTCTATACCCTGGTTACCTGAGGCTGTGAGCAGAAACTGCAGGCTGTAGCGAATACCCTGCTTGTGCAGCGTTCTCGTGATGATATTTAGCCGTATAGTACATACTGCCTACCTGTAGGTATCTAATTCTGCTTGTAATCACCGTACCGTAGCAGTAATTGGTCATCTCCGACTGCGAGTCTTGTACTGAGCGGGTCTCGCAAACTGCCTGTACAATGTTTGTTTCATGATTCGGATATTCACATGGGGCCATGTTTACAAGACGGTACTACTTAAGCTCTGACGCAGGCTGTTGTACAGATGGCTCTGTGTATGACGGATGTGTTGCAATATTTCATATCAGGGTGAACCTGTGGTAATATTGCATCCATGTTGCCGCCAGAAACGGACTTTGATCATCCTCAACACCAGAGTAGCAGAGTCTACCACAAGATATATGATTTCTGTTCATGTTGTTTCGATTCATGCATTGTTTCTTCGACTTTTACGTCAATGTAATACATGTATTCCACTTTCTTTCCTCCTCTTCCCCCTAACACATTCAGTCAGCAAATAAGTTCCCAGTGACAATAAATTCACCAACCACACCACCCTGCGCCTCTACACGGCAAAGCTCACGGAAGTGAAAGCTTTATGACTCTATATAATCGATTGTCACCTCATTTATGTTCCCACTACTAACCACTAACCTAGTAATTATAAGTAGGCAGGCAATTACTTGTTGCCAGTGCCAGTGCCAGTGCCAGTGCCAGTGCCAACTCGCCAGTTTGCCGGTCCGATAATCAGCCTCCTCAAACCCCATCCACCAGCTGCCCAGATAAACAAGCCCTACAAAACCGAGGACGCGTGCCTCGCGTTTTTCTTTCTTCCTTAAAGTTGTTTGCCGTGTGATTCACTCCGGCGAAGAGAAAACAAACCATAGAACCCTCGTTTTCTCCCCCCCTTCCACCACTTCTTCCTGCTTCCTTCACCTGCACCCAACACACTCGTTCGTTTTCTACCAGCAACCGCATTCAATTCACCAACGCTCTCTACCAATATCGTCTGTATCCAAACATTTCCATTCTTTGCAAAAGCTTTTGAAGCTTCTCTGCGCATTCAGTTTGGTATGAAACCCACCCACCTTTCCCTCCCGTTGTGCCATCGTCACTCCTGTACCACTCCGAACAAATTCTTCCCGACAAACTTCCACCACCAGCCCGCTTTGCACAAAGTCTCTCGCTAAAAAATATATCTAGTCTCAATCCTGGTCACAGAATACTACACAAGTAATCTCCAAGTAGGTCGCTTCAGCCTCTACGTCTTTATCTAGGCAAAACTGACATTCTCTCGACAGTGGCCAACATGAAGCGCACGAAGGACTCTGAGGCTGGCGTTGCGCCTCAGAAGAAGATGACGACTATCCAAAAGGTCAAGGAGTACTTCCTCGACTTCAAGATTCTCACGGGCGCTGCTTTGGCCATTTGCATGCTGTCTGCAGTTTTTGCGGTTACCCTCCTCGCGGCTCACTGTGGTATGATACCCTAATTTTGTTAAACTCAACCTCATACTGGAATCTTTCTGACTGGTGTAGCTGGTCTAGAGAAACTGTACCAGGGAGGCCTTGTCGCTGTGACTGGAGAAGCTCTTCCCAATGTCAACCAGAAGCTCGACCGTCGTGGTGTGGATTGCAACGAAACCGAGCTGGCCATGTCCGTTGCCTCTGCTCAGGTTGTCACCTACGTTCTTGACGATGGCTCCCTCGCTGTTGTGACTCAGGAACCTCGATCCAACCCAACGGTTTCTGTCACTAGCATCCCGATCTCGTGAGTAATTACAAACATCACATCACCCCTCTGAGCAGGAACTTGTTCTAATACCTCTGACGCAGCACTCAAACGGCGACTTCAACCATCTACACCGTCATCACACCGTCTCAGCCGGCTGTTGTCACCGAAACCACAACCATGACTACGTCCATCCTCACTTCAGAGGCTCCGGTGTGCTCGGCCAACACCACAGTCACCGTGACCATCACCGTTGTGCCCACTCCCAACAACCCCTGGGCCTCCAGCTCCGTCCTCGGCGATGTTACTGTGACAGCTGGTGCGTCGACAGTCACTAACGTCAACACTGATGTTTCCTACACCAGTGGACTTCCAGATGCCACCATCTCTGGCAACCCGTCGACTGTCACAGACGTTGATGTTTCTGTCACCAGCCTCCCTGATGTGACCATCTCTGGAAACCCATCCACCGTAACCAACGTCCTTACCGACGTCTCTCTCACCAGCGGTCTCCCAGATGCGACTGTCTCTGGCAACCCGTCAACCATTACGGCATTCCAGACCAGTTACTCTCAGCCTGCAGAACCCGTCACCTCGTTCGTCACAGTCGTCATCTCTGATCTCTGGAGTTCTTTGGCAACCAGCTCAACTGCCACGGATCTGGTGACTGTCACTGCCATCTCCACCATCAAGACAACAGTCACCACAATCGATGTTGCCCCCTCTCCCATCATCGTCACTGTCACAAACGCTTACTCAGAGCCTGCGAAGAGCACCTCGACCGAATCCGCAGACAGCTCCAAAGATGGCGCCCAGACATCCCGTCAGAGCACCCTGACGAAGACTGTCACGGCGACAAATGGCCAGCTGGAGACCACCACCACCACCGTCTTCATGCCGCCTGTCTTCACCAGCTACAACGGCACTGCGAACAGCATCCCCGCTGGCACCGCAACGAGTGTCATTGTGCCCACCATCCCCGTTGTTGTCTCCAGCAGCAACAAGGGTATGGAGCCACGCAGTCACTCTGTTTGTTTCCTCATCGTGTTGATTGTAGCCGGCATGTCTATGCTGTAAGAGCATCGATTTGGTAGGTTCGCCTCGAGGTAATCTTTGGACACTGCTCCATGATAGGGTGGCTATATTAAGGGGTCGATTTGATTCCTTCTTTTCTTTTCTTCCCTTTCACCATCTTTCATTTTCAAGTTAGGGCATCGCATCTAGGGTTTGCAGGGAACTGGATGAAATTAAGGTCGGCTGGCCAACAAACTGGGAACAATCGCTTTGTTTAATAAGAATCAGGACAGAATGGTTGCTTACAGCTAGGAGTGGCAAGTCAAGTAATTCTGCAATTTGACGACAACATAGCAAAGTGATTCACTATGTGCTCGGTAAACTATGAAGCCCTGTATCGAGATCTTATAGACTCAAGAAGAAGCAATTTTCAGTATTCTTGTCCAGACGCCCCAAAACAACTACTCCCATGACGCCGATTTTCCCATATCTTATCCTGCCCAGCCATTGTTGGCGGCATTGCCGATTATTTTGATCAAAGTATACCCCTGTATATATCCATCTCCCTTCTCTTCAGCTTCGCCCACTGACTCGAATCGTGTCAAGCTTTCACGCACACAATCAGCGCCTTCCAAAGCATCCATGCCACTATCGTGGCGGGCGCGGACCTTCACGTGCTGCCCTGGCCTTCCAATTATCTCTGATATGACCGGCGGCGTCCGAAAGATCCTTTACCGAAACACGATCTTTGATGCTCTCCAGGACGCTTGTGACTGTGCTCGTGTGATTTGCCTCCTTTTTATCGTCTCTGAAGCGGAGAAGGCGCCATCTCCTCTGGTCGTCCTGATTACACTCCACTATGCGATCGTTCAAGGGGTCACCCAAACTTTTCAACGTTTCCCATTCCTCTTCGGTGATGTAAAGGTCGTCAAACCGGTCGTATTTTTCCGGACCGTCACCCTTGTAAACAAATAATTCCGCTTTAGGTACACTGTCATAGTCAACAAACGGTTCCGTAATACCCTCTTTGCGCTCCCATTCGTCAGGCTCGACGGTGGGGAAAGAAAGTTTAAGACGAAGGTCAATCGTGTTTTCTTCCGGAGGCTTCCACTTGAGAATATGGGGGTCGGTGCCGTGCTTGTAAGCCGTGTTCCGGCACGTGAAGATGAGACCGTCGTTGCCGTGCTTTAGGCTTGGAAGAATCTGTTTGAACATCATGTCGATACCATAGCCGAGCTGGAAGGGCTTCATCTCCACAATGAACGGCTGGTACTGTAGTTCATCTGGAAAGTCCTTGAACAGCTTCTTGTATGGCGTATATAGCCGTTCTCGGAAGTAGGCTAGCCTTTTATCGAGAGACCGATCCATAAGCTTATTGCCATCCATCACAAGGCAGTCAAAGACGAGAAATCGAGCTTCCTTGTCCCCATTGGGCAGACTATCCCAGACCAGTTCGCCGTCGACAAGTGTTGCCGTGTGAAAGGCGCTGACGTCATTCTCACGAGGAAAGTGTAGGCTCTTATTGGTGATGTACCAGTAATCGTTCTTGCGGTCAATCAAGTAATGGGCTTCGCCTTGGTTTTCGTCTTCGGTCAAGTAGAGGAGATAGCGAATTCCATCGGACTTTTCGCATATGTAGTAACTGATAATAAGACGTTCATTAGTCGATATGCTCAAAGATGACAAGTTTCTCTTCGTCCTAGCCATACTCTTGCCTGGTCAATTCGTCCAGATGTTGTCTAGCAAAACTGACGGGTTGGGCGCCGGGGAAGCTGGTTTGCTGTCTACCAAGCAGCTCGGCAACCTCTCTGCGCATGGCATGTATGAGCTGTCCTTCGGCTTTGATGCCAGGCTCTTCAATGGACCCTATCGGCCCATCGGGTTTGCTGTTGGACTCCATTGCCTGCCTCCCTTCGCAGCCTCTTTCGACGAGCGCGTCGATGACCTGTCGTATGGATAGTGCCAAGAGGAAGGTAACGGAGGATTATTCAATTAGAATGATACACAGCCTCAGCCTCATGGAGCATCGAAGCGCACCTTGAGGCCGGACAGCTCAAGAGCGTCAGAGTTGATGTGATAGTCGCTAGAGGGTAGTAAGTTGGAGCTGGGAAGAGCTGCAGCGCGCGCCGTCTTCCTAAGACGGCCTCTAGTTGCTTATCGATAAAGGGTGAGTAGATGCGCGTGCGAATAAGCCGCCCACGTAATACTGCCGCCGCCGCACCGAAGCCGCTGCAGGTTAACATGATAAGAGGAGTGATATTTTTTCTATTTGCAGAAGTTCAAATGGCGTTGGTATAAAGTTAGAGATTTGATCCAATACTTGGTTGTGGCTTATAGTACCTGTATCTATGCGGTAGAACGACCTGGGACCTGAATGGGCTTACTACGAGGCCAGTTATTCTGTTGAATGGGGTGCTCTTTGAATACAAATTCTCTATATTGACAAGATGAATGCTATCTAGGTAGATATAACGCACTGTAACATTGCTTCACACATATATTATTCAGAGTAAATTAATACGATTCAAGTCGCTCTTGAATGGCGCTCAGAGCACCCAATGGTAGTAGTAATGAGACGGCGACATTTCAGATGACGAGTCTATCTCCCAAACTTTCCTCCAACATTAACAATATTCCCGTCATGAATAACCGTCTGGACACGCTAATTTTCATCTATTTTGTCGACCTCGGCTCGGGCCTCCTCCCACTGCTGCTTGCTCTTGCGTGCCCACTCAATCTGGCTTCTGGCATATGCCAACTGTAGCGATTGTTAGTATCAAAGTCCTCAAGAATAGTCGAGTAGTTGGCCGCCCAGTGATTTCGGTTTCTGCAGTGGTTTACGTACCATGTATCTTCGCAAATCATCTTCCTTATCCTTCTGGAACCGTTTCAAATCATCCAGTACGCTTGCGCTGGCCTCCTTGACATCCCTCTCAGAAGCTACCTGGGCTTGCTCTAGCTGGCCAATAGACTCGCGCGTCTTTCCAATGGTATCTCTGCGGGTTCGTTCAGGATCCACATCCACGACACCCTGAACTGCATGACGGATCGGACCAAAAATCTTGTTGGTTATGGAGTTTGTACTGGGCATCTTTCTGTGCGTGTTGCTTGTGCTTCTCTCGGGAAGACCTTGGCTTGCAGACGGGGGTACTGATGGGAAGTCGCCGTGTGTGGGAGGGAAATCAGAATCTATAGACTCAGTGTCTTCCTGGCTTCCATCACGGCGGTGCTGAGTCGGAGGTTCCCTCATGCTTGCTGATCGCTTGGGAGGGGGTGATATTTGCTGGCTGCTGGAAAGGTACTGTTCGATGCGTCGCGCCTCCGCTTCACTGCGCTCCAGCTGGTCCAAAAGAGCCCTCTTTTTGTTGAGCTCATCGGTTGTCATGTCCTGTTGCACGCGCTTGAGAACTCTATACCGCAAGACGCTTCTTACCACTCCCGCAAACTGGGCATTTTCTCTCATTGGTTCTGCGAAGCTTGCCCCCAAAGTTCCCGAAAGCTCCTCGGTTGCAATGTATGATGCATCAGCGGCCTGGCCAATGCGTTCGATGGCTGGTCCCAAGGAGGGGGCTTGTTCCGAAAGGGCAAAAGCATTGTATCTTGATCCTAACTCGCATAGATCGGCCGCAAGAGAAGACAAGTGACTGAGAGTTCGACGGTTGACTTTCTCCATAGGGCCAGTCAGAAGTTGCTCCAGCTCTTTAATCGAGGCTTCATATGAGATAAAATACGGGTCAAGTTCTAATTCGCTGAGCTTGGATGCATCTGTTGGGAAGCGTTCGATCGCATGCGCTGCGCCTTGAATGACAGAAGCGCTCAGGTCTTGGCCGGTACCTGACGAGGCCTTGAGTTTCGATGAGCTGGAAGGAATTGGAAGAAAGTTGTGCGCGGGGGTTGGATTCGCTGTGTTTAGTGGAGGTGCCTTGAGAACAGACTTGGGAATGGAGGCTACAGGGTGGGCATGCAAGACCTCGCTCTATCATAACGTTAGCAACAGACGAGACGACTGGTTTATATCAGGAAAAAAAAGAGGGAGCGCATTACCCAGCTTGAGTTTGGGTCTAGGAATCTCCACCAGACTCCGTCCTCTCTGACGGCGTCCATTCGACGGCAGCGGTTCAAGAAGACCATCAACATGCGCTTTCGTAAGTCAATGATTTGCTGGTCCTGTTTTGCGCTCGTGGGATTCGCGGCATAGTCGGCCATGGTATGCTTTTCTGGAATGGGAGGGATGACAAGGGTCGGATGAAGACGAGTCAAGGCATCTCTCAGCGAGGCAAACTCAGAGTAACGGCGACGAACTTCTAGATCCTGGATATGGTGGTCAGAAAGGCAACTACACGGAGTAGGCGAGCGCGGCGCACCCCAGTTTTAATGGTATACACAATGTATCTCCCTCCGCTCTCCACGCTTTTGCCCGCATCGGTGATCATAATGGGCATGTTGGGGTTCTCATAGAGGATCTGCTCAATGCGGCTGTTGTACCCGCCTGGCTTCCGCCGTGGGGGAGTATCCTCCCTGAGGACATCTTCTTCGTCAATCTGCCCAACGCCATGGCTGAAGGGCTGGCGAGGTGATTGAGCATCATCGCTCCCGGTTGACGGGGTGTGGGGGGCCTCGAACACTCCATCTACAGCGTTCGCTTCGTGTTAGTTTTACTCTGCGTCTCGCCGCGCCCGGTCATGGACTCGCTCTTGAGCAGGCAGCCCAGCAGCGCTCCAAGCGACGAGGTGCAATGGACTTACAGTCTCTGGAAGTCGGCGAGCTCGGGATGGCCGACGATGAGGTCTGTGAATCCCGGCGATCGAAGCTCGATCCGTAAGGATTGTTGTCCTCGTCGTTCCACATGATGGCGGCGCTCTCGATGCAGGTCTGCGTATGCGCGGATATGGGCCCTTGGAGTCTGCGCGGCTGAAGACAAACACCAGAATTACGCTCTGGACCGTCGTCGAGCTCTGGGGCAACTGTGGCGCGGGGCGGAGTCGGTTAAGCCGCAGTGACGTGGGGTCGAGATCAGGGGATGTGCAGGAAAAGCGCCTTGAGGGCTGTCGCCATTCTCTGGGGAACACGCTGGAGGAGGTTGTCAAGGGAGGGAATCCGAGGCTTGGACGATGATTGCAGGCAGAAGCGGAGAGACAGTCGTGCGAAGCTCCGGCCGTTTCTGAGGTTAAAAAGAAGCCCTGCCACCTTGATGACGATACCGCGCGCACGGACCACCTACATCACCAGGCACTGCACGAACCTGTTCTTGGATGTACCTCTGTACCTTGCTTCTTGCAGTGCTTCTTGCAGTGCTTCTTGCAGTGCTTCTTGCAGTGCTTTTCGCCTCTCCATCTCCATGCTGTTCATGTTCCGCATTCGACCCTGCGGCCAATCCCTGCATCCAACATGCAGGTGTCGACACTTGGTTTCCACATTGGCTTTTACTGCCCAGAGAACCGCATCGCGAAATGGAAATTATATTGTTCTCTTTCCATGAATCAAGATGCATATATATCTGCTAAATTTGGTTCAAGCGTCTATTAGGCTCTGTATGACCCTTACTTCGTCTTCATCTTTCAACGCGGACATTGCTAGCACCAACATTTCAGCACCAGTACCCTGTCCCATGTCGCAGCTTGACGAAACTCCTCAGCGACCTTTGCATACCTAGATATTCGCATCACATTCCCTAAGGCAAGCATGAGACATGACTGTTGATTTATAGTAAACCATCTCTCTTTATTACGGCGTTGGTTATCGTATACGAGGTGAAACATCACCTCTAGCCATGCTGCTACCAGCTGTATAGGACTATCTCGACACGACAACTCTTCAAACGATCTGGAAATCAACTATGCCATCTTTTAGAGTTGCAGCCTGAGTTACATGGCCCAATATGATTCAGTGCTAAGCTAAATTCATTGTATGTACTTCATAGTCCTTGTCATCATGCTAACTTCAATGAGCTACCATGGTGATTGTCAAGTAACCCAACCCTCATTCACGCTATGAAGAAGGCTATACTCTCATCTCCTTACGAGAATGTGGCTGGTTGTTTTCCTTGAGGGGTATCTCATAGTCGTCACTATGGACCGTGGCGACATCACTCCGGATAGACTCAAGGGAGTCGCTGGATGTATCCAGATTGCATACCATGGACGAAGTTTCATCTTGCTCTCCGAGGGGCTGTCCTGAGTCTCTTGCTTCCTTGCGGTTAATAACTTGCACCGCATAATCATCGAAGTTCGGACATGAGGCTGAATGGCGGATATTGATGTGTGTAGGCGGTAAAGGCTCCAAGGGCTCTGGAGATGGAGAGCTTGCCACAGTAGATGCCACCCCAACTGGTAAAGTAAAAGCCCGATACAACTTCTGCCACCATGAGGTTTGGCGCAATGGAGACTCATTTTCCGAAGGTTGGACTTTTTCTTGGTGACTTTGTTCTGCTTTTGGCGGCCCCGAGGCTACATCGTCAGAAGGCTTGTGTCGGGGTGCTTCAGGTGGTCGAACTATCGGGGCTGGTAAATATAGGTGAGGAGGATTCATGACGCCGAGTGGCTGAGTTGTGAGAATTTGGGGTCTGGGCAAGAAATAGATAGGCGTTTGCTGAACAACTCCGTACTGTAGAACGGGAGTTGGTTGCGTGAGGTGCGATATTGGTCTTGTAGGGCCGTTGAGATTGCGAAGAAGCTGTCTATTTCTCTGTCGGCGAGTGACATTGTGTGGCTTAGATTGGTTGCGCCGGGTCCTCCCTCTCCCCGTATAATACATCCAAACTATCGACAAGATGATAAAGACGACGACGATGGAGAATATAATGCCAAAGTGTGTGACTGAACTGAGGCAGTGCCATCCTAGGCAGGAGTCAGATCGGCGACGAAGGCAAGTATGTCCTTTCCGTTCGAAAATATGCATAACTGTAGATGCAAGGCGAGTGAGAAGGTCGAAATAACCAAGGATGTCACCTGCTGTCTCCTAAGGGTCGTTTTGGGCGTTTCTCTTGATGCATAGACGGCACTGGAATGCAAACATGGGTGTTGGAGCGGGCAGTTGCAACGATTCTCTTGGCTGAAGAGAGAGTAGGGGGAGAAAATGCCCAAGTTTCAGCACCACGATTGGATTTTAAGGCCGTTTGACCTGGAGTCTTGCTTCAGAGCGCTTCCAGCTGGCTACCGGCTGGCAGCGCTGAGCCCTCCCCAGAGGAGTTTGTGTGATACTTTGAACGACCATATTACAGATTTGTAAAAACACTCGGTATTCTCTTAACTCAGCGTACTGGATTCTTGAATATTCAATCATCTTAGTGACGTGAGCAGATCGTAATAAAGGATAGGTAGAGGGCGATGTTGTAACATGTGCTGATAGCATCCGGGTAGTCATCTACCTGTGATTTTCTACATCTTGGTAGAAACACAAGAATGTCGGCTAGTTATTCTGCCATCTTCATTATTGTCCACAATGACGTCCTTTATAGTCTGCAACGAAGAACAGCCCGGAATTGCCTTGAAAATTAGCCCATGGACGCATTTATAAAGTCCATGTCAATTCGAGATGTACAAGAGTACCTAGGTATCTCGTAACTAGAGAGGTTCCTCGCGTTCTCATTTAGAGCTTTCTTGTATGCTGCAAAAAAATCCTGCGTCTAATTTCTCTGTTATTACGAATTTAATTTTATGTTTCATTTCGTTTTATTTTGCAATCAACAATATCACTCGTAAACAGTAAACATGAAAAATCGTTTATTAGGACCACGCTGAAGTGACATGAGGTCTGCCCGGATCGCTCATTGTCCAATCAGGCTGCGTCACGGCGCGCACGGACCACTCTCGACTTCCCTGAGCTATCCATGGAATTTCTGGCTCTCGCCTCGTCTTGATCAATCCCAAACTCGCGATATCAAGCCTTTCGGCAACTCCTTGTCGACTCTCAGCCCCAGATTCATCCGCGCTCGGCTGGCAGAAATTGCCATGATATAGAGAAAACTGATGAACTTTTTGCCAGTCACCACCGAGGCGCATCACTAGCTTGTCGAACGCGTTCCCGCGATTTCGCCCACCTCCAAGCAACCCCCCCGTCTCCCCATTGGCATTGAATCAGATCTTCAGCCATGGCGGCTCTTCAGAATGGCGCGGCGAATGGTGCGGCAAACGGAGATGCTTTAAAGGCTCCTACTAGCACCCGATTCTCCGATATCCCGTCCGCCATCGATATCCCTGTCCAGGGCGACCAGGAAGACGAAGCGGTCGAAATCGATCTGGAAGACCTCGTCGATGATCCCACCGAGCTGTGTACTCTGTTCGAAAACGAGCATGCGGCAAAGACATATTGGATGACCGTCGCGTTGGCATATGCGAAGCAACGGAAAATCGACCACGCCATCGAGATGCTGATTCGAGGTGGCAACGCCATACAGAGCGGCAACCCACGCGATAAGGTTAGCATGATTTGCTGTCTCTGTTGGATGTACTTGTGGAAAAGTCGAGAAGCTCCTCGTGTTGCGCCTGACGGTGTTCATGTGTCGGAAGCCAAGACGAAAGAGTACTATCTCCAGCTTGCAACGTCATCCCTGAATGACGCTGCACGTCTCAACCCATCCTTCCCACCCATCTTCCTTGCTCGTGGAGTGTTGCTTCTGCTCAGAGCTTCACTGCAAGGCCCATCAAAGACAGCTGGAGGCCTAGGGACGGAGAAGAGCGAGCTTCTCAAGAATGCCGCCAAGGCCTTTGATGATGCACTCCGAGTCTCTCAGGGCAAGAACATGCTGGCGCTGATGGGAAAGGCTCGCACCCTGTTCTCCATGCACAAGTACCCCGAGGCATTGGCTACATACCAAGACGTTCTTCAGAAGAGACCTGACTTGGTGGATCCCGATCCTCGTATCGGTATTGGTTGCTGTTTCTGGCAACTTGGGTTTAAAGACGATGCAAAGGTAGCCTGGGAAAGATGTCTGGAAATCAACCCCGACTCTAAGGTTCCTAACATTCTCCTTGGTCTATACTACCTCGATGCCAGTGGTCACGTTCCGGTCAACAGCGACGAGTTCCTCAAGCTTTATAAAACGGCCATGATCGAATACACTCAGAAATCATTCAAGCTCGATAAGGAGGTCCCCATCACCTGCTCCACCTTCGCAGGTTACTTCCTGTCCCGAAAGGCGTGGGATAACGCAGACAAGCTGGCTCACAAAGCCATTCAATACACTGATGTCAACGCCGTTGCCAGTGACGGATGGTATCTGCTCGCGAGAAAAGCTCACTACAACGGTGATTTAGAGCGTGCCAGTGACTACTATCGTCGCGCCGACGATGCTCGTGGAGGTACCGAGACTGGCTATCTCCCAGCTAAGTTTGGTGTTGCACAACTGTCTGTCATGAAAAATGACCTGGGAGAGGCCAAGTTAAGACTGGAAAAAATCATCCAGCAGTCTAAAAACCACGAAGCCATGATTCTCCTAGGGACCATCTACGCGGAGGAAATATTCACCAACCAGAACAGCGACAGCAAGGAGGATAGGTCTGCGGAAATGAAGAAGGCAATTGCTTTGCTAGAGGGCGTCAGGAATTCTTGGAAGGACCCAAAGAAGGCCCTATCACCTGACGCTTCCGTCCTCCTAAACTTGGCCCGACTATATGAAACGGAGAACCCTGAAAAGGCTTTGCAGTGCTTGCAGCAGGTTGAGCAACTGGAACTCGAGCAAATTCCAGAGTCTGAAAGACCAACCGATGTACCCGAGGCTGATCTTCAGGCGGCTCTTCGCAAGTTTCTTCCACCCCAGCTTCTGAACAACATTGGTTGCTTCCACTCTCAGGCGGAGAAGCACGATCTAGCCAGCGAGCTGTTTGAGGCTGCTCTAGGTGCGTGTATGAGGGCCGGTGAGAAGGATCCCACAATGGACACCGACGCCTTGGTGACCACCATTAGCTTCAACCTTGGTCGAAGCTATGAGGCCCGTGGGCTGACGGACAAGGCCGTCGAGGTGTACGAGGGCTTGCTCAACCGCCACGACGATTATACTGATGCCCGCACTCGGCTTGCGTACATTAAACTCAGAAAGAATCCCAACAAGGAAGGACCGGACGCTGTTGCAAAACTATACCAGGAGAACACAGCTGATCTGGAAGTCCGAGCCCTCTATGGGTGGTATCTCGGAAAGGTCCACTCCAGAAAGCGCCCTGCCAACATTACCGAGGATCACGAATTTCGCCATTACAAGCATACGCTACAAAATTACGACAAGCACGATAGATATGCCTTGGTCGGAATGGGCAATCTTTATCTCCTGCAGGCAAGAGAAATGCGACGCGAAACAGAACAAGACAAGCAGAAGCGGAGTGCGACGTATTGCAAGGCTGTTGAGTTTTTCGAGAAAGCTCTGTCACTCGACCCGAAGAACGCCTATGCAGCTCAGGGCATTGCAATCGCTCTTGTGGAGGATAAGAGAGACTATAAAACGGCTCTCACCATTTTCAACAAAGTTCGAGACACGGTCAAGGACTCTCATTTATACGTAAACTTGGGTCACATTTTTGCTGAACTAAAGCAATTCTCCAAGGCCATTGAGCATTACGAGATTGCTCTATCCAAAGATGGCAAAGCAAATGATCCAGTTATCCTCTCATGTCTTGGCCGCACTTGGCTAAACCGAGGAAGAGTAGATCGAGATGTGGACTCGTACAATAAAGCCCTTGAATGCGCCAAAAAGGTAAGCTCATTGCTTCGGTCTCTGGTCTCAGTATCTCTTGCTAACAAGGACTCACAGGCGCTTGAGGTGGCTCCGGACCAAATACATTATCAGTTCAACGTTGCTTTTGTTCAGATCCAGCTCGTGACAACAATTCAAGGCCTGCCCGAGAACAGACGGACGGCTGAGCAGCTAGAAGAGGCATCTGAGGGCCTCGAAGCCGCCATTGAGTCGTTAGATAAGATTGCTGCTCATCCTCAAACACCTTATCCCAAGCACGATGTCGAACAGCGTGCCAACATGGCCCGCAATACGCTCCGCAAGCAGCTCGAGAGAGCACTCGGAAAGCAGAAAGAGTGGGAGGAGAAGAATAAGGAGAAGATCTCGGCCGCCAAAGAACAGCGAGAGGCCGAGATGAAGAAGCGTGAAGAAGAACGGCAAGCAGTTCTAGAGAAGGAGCGAGAGCGACAAGAGAAGATCAGAAAAGAACGAGAGACCATTGCCGCGCGCGATAGGGCCCAAGCAGAACAGCGAGCTGAGGAGGAACGAGCACGACAAGAGGCGGAGATGACTACGGATGAAGAGACTGGCGAGAAGATTAAACGCAAGCGCAAGCCAGCACCACGTGCCCCTGCTGGTGAGGGCAAGCCGAAGAGATCATCGAAGAAGAAGAAGGTCGATGCGGATGAGGATGAGGGCTCTGAGGAAGAGAACCACACCAAAAAGAGACGCCGTCTCACTAAGCGAGAGTCTTCCAAGTTCAAGTCGGCTGAAATTGTGGTTGATTCCGACGAGGAGGCCAACGAGGATTACGACGACGATGCTCTCGAGCGCGCCGAGAGGAACCTGGACAGAGACGAGACGCCTCTCTCCGAAGCCGACGAAGACGCTGCCGAAAAGATGGACGTTGATGACGAGGACAAGGGTCGCGGCGAAGGAGACGACGATGAGGATGTTGATGCTCCCCGAAGCCAGGCCAAGAGGAGTCGCAGAGGCCGTGTGATTGCAGAGAGCGATGAGGAAGACGAAGACGCGGAGCCCAGCAGTGCTAAATTAGATGAGCGCGCTGCGGCCGTGGATGAGGATGACGAATAATCATAATAACCATTGATTCTTATCCGGTTTTTGAGAAGGGAGAAAGGGGTTTTGGTGATGGGGCGGGGCTGGGACACACAAAGTTGTACATGTATACTAGCTTCCCTCTGATACAGCGGGAAACGCACACTCAGAAAAAGGAAAATAGCGATTTTGTTTTTTTAGATAGTCGGAGGAAGAATTAACATACTGCCTTTATAGATGCACACCGAGCATTTTGTCATATTTCAATTAGCGGACATGCGTTGGACATGCGTGATGTATTCTATTCCCAAGTATCCTGAAATTCCTGGGTTTCTACCAACTCGCCAGGGATGTTATTACATGAACCTATTTTAACATTTTTTGAGCCAGCGGTCTATTAGATTGTTCGCACCAGGAGTGCTTCCTCGAGAACTCTACGGGAAATGCACCTCCGCCAACTTAAGATACCGACGCCGCACAAAACACCATTTTTGATTTGTTTAGAAAGCAAAGACTTGATCCTCGAGCTTGCTGACGGGACGGGCCTTGGAGAAGCCGAGACTCTCGGTAGCCTTCTTCAGACCACTAATCATAGGAGGGGGGCCACAGAGCAGGATCTTGACATCGCTGGCGGGCTTGGGCAGCCATTGCTAAAAAGAATTGTCAGTATCAATTCCAGGATCATAACTATTTGGGCAGCGTACAGTAATCATGTCGGCGGTAACGAAGCCAACACCGCCAGTCCAGCCTTCCGGAGGCTTGTCGAGCACATAGTGAATGCGGATGTTGCTGTCCTCCTTGGCCAGGGCGTCGAGGTCCTCCCTGAGAAGAATGTCCTGGGCAGTGACGTTGGCAAAGATGAGGTCGACCTCGGTCTTGTCGCCGGTAGCACGTCCACGAACAATGGCTCGGATAACCTGAAGCATGGGGGTGATGCCCGTGCCTCCAGCAATCATACCAAAGTGGCGAACCATGTTGGGGGTGTAGACGAAAGCACCCTTGGGGCCACGGACGCGAATGGCCTGGCCAACCTGGAGGGAGGCCATGTGCTTTGAGATGTTACCCTGGGGGTAAGACTTGATCAGGAGGTCGACAAATCCGGGCTGGTGGTCGCCAGAGATGGGGGTATAAGATCGGACAATCTCTTTGACAGATCCATCGGGCTGAGGAAGATGGGCGCCAATGGAGATGTGCTGGCCGATGGGGAGGCCAAGAATGCTCCGGGGCGAGGGCAGCTTGAATCGGTAGCTGAAAATGGCGGTTGTTAGATCTGCCGAAGCCAGGCTCAAGAAGACTTCCAAGGGCGAACTTACATGGCGACATTGTGGGAGATGATGGTCTTCTCCTGGAGCGGGAATTCCTGGAAGACGTCCGGCTTCAGCACCTTCTTGATCTCTGTAGTACAGGACAATTAGTTGAATGTCCAACAAGCGCAGCGCGCATTGAAAACATGTGACCCATGCCGGGTACTTACGGAAGCTGAAATAATTCCAAGTGCCGAGGGCAACGGCGAGAAGAGCGGCATATGGAGTCCAGTCAATCTTGACAATGGCAGTGCCGACGACGAGCAGAGCGGCGGGGATGTAGATGTAGTCGATGTACTGGCGGGCGAATGCGCCCTCGTCGACTTTGGCGGCCATGGTAGCGATGCGGAGGGCAAAGAAGAACAGCTCACAGCGTACGATATTTATCGTCCGCAGGTGGGACGATGCGGGACAATTGGCCACGGAGGGGCAGCGCGAGCTCGGGGTTCAAAGGGCTGCTAGTGGGCAATTGACGGCGGCGATGAGGCTGCGGCCGGCTGCGAAGCTCCACGGCTGCTCTGAGACGCTTCCCGCCAGTTGAGTCGCCTTGGATGCTTGGACCTGGAGGGAAAAAAAGACGAGGCTTGATAACACGTCCAAGGTAGGAAATTTTGGCGGTGACGAAAACAGGGCTCGTTCTGCCGTTGAGCTGGCTGGGGCCGTCCCCAACGAAAGACGGCCCGCCCAATCGCCAGCCGCGCAGTCGGCAGAACGAATGATCCGGGGCGTGCCGTTGTGCGTCTTACATCATGGTGCCACTGTTGCACTTGTTACTGTCTTGTTGTCCTACCACCTGAACTGCGACCTTCCCTTCAACCAGGCCCTCGACCTCGACCTCGACCTCGACTAGGTAGAGCTGCTTGGGAGGATGCGGATGGGATGGACAGGCAAAGACGGCTGAATGGGAAAAGAGATGTATACGTCATGCCACCATCCGGTACATACAACGGGTCCGGCACTGTGGTCGTCGTAAATTGGGCGCTTACTCTGTACGGCTCGGTCCTCCGTCCGGAGCACAGAAACAAGAAAGGACAAGAGGACAGGACAAGGACGTCTCGTCTCGTCTCGTCTCGTCTCGTCACGCACTAGCTCTGCGTGCGTTCTGCACCTTGTACTCGTATCTTGCTGCTGCATAAGTTGTGTTTTCCCTAATCAGGGAAGTTGTGCATAGCGAAGAGCACCATTTCGGCAGCTGACGCCTGGGCATACGAGATGGCACGGAGCAACGCGGCATTGCGTTGCTTTAAGGAATCCCGTAATCGTATTCCACGGCCCTAATGACCCAAAGCCTACCAACCTCCGACCAAACGCTATCCAGACTCGATGCAGCTTGCATCTGGACGAGCTGGAAGAGCTGGACGAGCAGTTTGAGGCCATGAGAACTGCAGATATACTACACAGGCAGGGACTTATATTACGGAGAGACTTGCAGATGACATACGGAGCACGGAATATCACTGAACTGCAGCTGGAGGCGCTAGAAAATCACAGCGATCAGAAATTGGAGGGACTGTGGTGATCATTGCGTATAATCCTTGGAGCCCCTGGCCAGCCTCCTCACACCAGCTCTCGGACCCTAGTCAATGAGGCGTTACGGCTCCGCCGTGGGTGCATAAGGTATGCCACAACAACTTCTTCGATGAGATAGAGTGTGTGTAACAGTGATGAAAGAGCAGCAAAGGGAGCAGAGATACAAGGAAAACCCCACGCACGGAGTAGGCCAGATCGGGTATTGATCTGGATGAGGCGAATATAGAGAGCAAGTGATGAGCCATGGCCCAGCTATTTCCTCATGAACGAGCTGTCGGGGCGAATAAAGCAGGAGTCGTCGCCCCTCGCCATTGTGAGCTGGATCAAGGAATGGCGAATGCGTGTTTGATGCAGATAAACATGAAATGGCATGACGAAGCCCGGTGGAGGGAATACGGGGCCCTGCAGTCCTAGCCGCAGCGCGAATCTAAATCCGCGGGACTAAATCGTCTCGTACCGCGGACACTGGCCTTGGGCGAACCTCATAGGCTAGCGGGTTGTGAGCGCAGCTTGGCCAGACGTCAATTGACTTTGCGCGCCGAGATCGAGATTCCAGCTATCAGAGAGGCATGACGCCGGTTTGTGAATCCGCAAAAACACTGACATGCGTCGCGGACGGCCGGAGACCCTGTCCAGCACCCTGAACGGTGCCCAAATCGACTACGCGGTTTCAAACTCGAGTCGAGAGGGGCCTTTTCGCTTTTTGCGGCCCCGTGTGGCGGATGCTTGGCTGGTCTCGTCATCCAGCTGCTGAACCTGGCCAGTGAATTAGAGGAGCTCATGGAGATATCACACGCCTGTCTCCCTGTGCGGCACTCTGCCTTTTTTTCTCGAGTGACTTTTTCTTCTTTTCTCCTTCATCGTGTGACACCGGGCCAGACCGCTGGACGGACACCTGGCCGCGCAGTCAGTAAGCAGAGCGATTCGATTCGTCAAACTGCTACGAGTTACAGTCGAGACGAAGACGGCCAACGGCGACGCATCTCCGGACCGTGACATCCATTTGTCTTTTCTATAGCTGCATGTGACATCTACAGGCATTTCTACTGCGGAGCGGACCTTATCGCGTGTGTTTGTCGCAAGCTGCACAGCTGAAGCCCAGGGGGGAGAAAAAAAAAAGAACGCTTGCGGATGCTCATGTCGATCTCACTTGCGGATAGATGAAACCGTAACGAAAAAGCGCCCACCTTCACCACTGTTGTCTTGGCGCCTAAAAATCGCGAATTTTCCATCAAACCGCAACAGATTACTTCTCCTTTCTCAGAGTCGACGATACCCCCCTGCACCAAGTATCGACCTTCCCTCCACGGCTCAGCCATCCACGACTCGCGTCTCCCTAGCGATTTCCTGCCGCTTATTCGCGCCTGGGAAGTGCATCCCGCACTGTCTCCTGAGCGACTCAGGCGTTGCCCTGGTATCCCAGGAAAACAGAACCGTCAAGACATTGAACCGGCTTGGACGCGTTTCTTGAGTGACTTGAAGAACGAAGAGAAAGAAAGACAAGGAAGAGGGGGAAAGAGAGGACAAGCAGACAGGCGCATGTCATTTGTCTCGCCGATTTATCCAGCTATTTTGCCAACTACACCACCAGTGGGCTGAGACATCGCTTCACACCCGGGACGATTGCGCGCCGTTCTCTACCTAGGCCTTCGAAGCCGCCGAATCCTCGACGCAACGTTTGGATTTTCCCAGGCCTCAAGAAAGATCTTATTCCATCTGCTCCATTGTTTCTTCTCCATGATCGGCATGTCCAGCTGAGATCTCCTGACGACTCGCCCCTCAGCCTCGCTTCGAGGATCCCAATCCAGCCGCCATAATGAAGCCCACAAAGAGCTCCGAGAAATGGAAATGGAGGTCTTCTGTTGCGAGCACGACGGCATCGCTATCTCCATTCCATAATGCCCCTTCCCAAGGGGAGACGCCAGAACCCGCTGAGAGCAAAAAGTCCCGTACATTGTCCAAAGCCTTCCGCTCAATTAGTAGCTCCTCGTTAGATTCAATGTCCAGTGGACCATCTAGGTCTGGGTCCTCACAACGAAAACTCTCCAAGACGCCATCGGGCTCCGGATCCATGATTGAAAGGCTGCAGAGGAGAGTTTCCAGAGACTCTTCCGTCAGTACGATTCCCCCAGAATCTCCCATCAGCCCTGTGGAGCCTACTTTTGCCTCGATGGAGATGATTCGATATGGATGGTTGAAGGCCGATTCTTCTCTACTAAAAGCTCGACCCGAATACCTCGTTCTGGCAGATCATGCATTGGTCAAGTTCGGAAGCGCGGAAGCTGCTAGAGCTATCTTCCCGCAGCTGACGCAGACAGAGGACCGCCACGGGAAAGGCTTCCACCCTATCCACTCCATGAGCACCAAATCTGCCTCGGGAGAGATTCGACTGGATATACCCCTCCGGTCCATCATTGCGGTATTTAATGAGGAATCTTCAAGCTCCCGTTATGGTGTTGAGGTTTGGTGGCACTCGAGAGCGCCCAAGATCGCCTCCTGCAAGGCGCACTTCTACTTTGCCCTTCCAAAAGAAAGGGATGATTGGCTGGCGGATATTCATCAAGCGTGCAAGGCCAGGTTGAGAAAAAATGCCCCCCATTCGAATATCCCGGAGAATGTCAAGATCCGCATCAACCACACAATGCACCCCGCTGAGACATCGGGCGATAGTGCTTCCCTGGGCGTGATTTTCCCAGTGGTGAAACGTGTTGTGGCGACAGCTCAGAAAGGCGCTGCTGCAGACGAATCCCAGGATGTCATAGATACCTCAACGTATTACCTTGCCATTGGATCCTACCAGTGTTATTTTATTGAGATCCTCAAAGCCGATTATTCAACGCCGCCAGGCGACCTGCGGCTGAAAACCTCGGTGTTTGGGACGGTATCTTTGACCCGTTTCCAGGCTTCAGTAGCATCTAACGAACAAAGATTTACAATGTGTTTTCGGTGAGTGAGATGCGGGCTCACGCCCGTTTGTCTAACTGGCTGATGCAGCATTTCATAACTAACATCAATAGCTTGCCATTTGGTCGAGAAACTCGCCTGGTCCTGGCGAGTACGTCTTATCGCCGGATCATCGAGGCTCTGGTAAAAATTGATCGCGTCTTGAAACCTATGTGGCCACAAAATCTTCAGAACGCTATTTTCGAGATCAAAGGCCTTCCGGCACCCCTTCAATTGACATCCGGAAACGATTTGGGCGGCCTTGAGATAAGTCTACAAGCCTATTGCGTTGCCTTCAGCGTACAGATCCCCACGTGGACAATCGAATGGTATACCCCATCGGAGCCGGCTTTCCGACTGCTTGCCTCCGGTGATTTAGAGTATTCTCCACTTCAGCTCCTTGCGGTCTTTCGAGCATTGAGATACAATAGCTTCTTTAAAGCATTATCATTTCGTGATGTTGATCTTTCATCACTGGCGAACAAGAATGACTATTCGCAGTTTGGGGACACTGTGGTATACACATCTTTGAGCGGTACTTACACTCCAATTTTGGAACGGCCCCCCCGACCCATGTACTGACAAGCGTATTAGGCGTTAGAATACCGGATGACTACTATCAGCTTCTCATACTAGCTCCGATTCTAGAACAAGAGATACATGCGTTGATGTTTTCTTCTGAATCTATACGGTATATTGATCTTACAAACACTGTCGGCTTACAACGAGCAAGGAGACCGCAGACTGGTCGTGGGTCGATCAACCAATCCGCCATGCGCAAAATGATGTCGGAGATGATTCGGCCCCTATCGATGTTACTCAAGACTCAATTGTGCCACTGCCATGGCATTTCCATGTCTGGCAACCCTATTGGGTCCGGCGACGTGGCTGAATTAGGTATGCGCACCGCATGAGAAGACGCGGCAAGAATCTATTGAATGCGAACGTCGTTGCTGACTTTTAATTTAGCTAATGTCTTTGGATTGGATGATGTGCACATGAAGAGGATTGAACTGTCCAATTGCGGACTCGGCGACGTTGATCTAGCCAAGATCTGGAGCGGACTTGTAGGCCAAGCCGAGACTATCGAATGTATCGATACGTCGAACAACAGTGGGACTGTTGGCTTTGAAACAATCACTTTTACACTTCATCAATTGCGCAATATCAAGAAGCTCAACATATCGGGCAATACTAGACTCGTCTCGGAAGAACCACTCTTCTCTGAGCGTGCGCTTAACAGCTGGGCTCTGCAAGAATTGGATCTCTCTGGGATAGTGGTAAGTACATGAGACCTGACCACTGCGGTTTCGACAGCTAACTAGCAACTACAGCTCAACGCTACTACTGTTGTTTCTCTCGCAAGATATATGGAATCTCCAATGTCGCAAGGCCTGCAAGTGATCCGCCTTAATAATTGCGGCCTCACTGGAAGTCAAGTTGCCCAGCTCTTCTTTAGCATGGGTAAGGCCCGGCATATGACAGTTCATATAAATGCAAACCGGCTAGATGACGGCATCGATGTTTTGTGTGATGCAATTGCCTCTGGCTACGGACCTTGGAGTTTGTTCATGCAGATGATTGAGTTCAGCTATGAGATGAGCTTTGTCAAGCTAATGCGAGCATTGACCACCAACAAGACAATAGAATGCCTGAGCTTGGCCGGTTGTGCCACGCCAGACGCTGTGAGCAGCATTGCTTGCCAGGCCGCTTCAGAACTCTTCGCCAAGAACGAGACCATCCGTTTCTTGGATATATCCGGATATGATTCCAAGCTGGATGAAGGCCGGCTAGGAAGGGAATTTTCCAAGTCATTAAGCGGCATGAAGCACAACAAGCGAATTGAACATCTTCGCGTCCGAAGCCAGATGCTCAACATTAACATTGGGGACTTGGCTGAAGCCATCTCGGGCAACCAAACACTGCACACTCTGGATTGCGAGGGCAATGATTTTAACCTCTCCAACTTCTGGCATCTGGTGAAGCGCATCGAGGCCAACACCACGATCCGGCACTTCTCGGCGTTTTCGGATGCAGAACTGGCCAAGACCATCCAGAAATCCGCAGAAGTTGATGTGCCGGTGGTGTCAGCACGCCGCTCCTCCGGGCTATTCAACAAACTCAAGCATGAAAAGGCTCCGGTGGTTGTGGAGAAGCCCCTTGTGCAGCGGCTGGGCGATGAGTGGGATGCCGCAATTGCGGCGCTAGATCGAGTGCTTGAAAGAAACCAAAGGGCTTACAACGAATTACATGGTATTGGACAGGCATCGGCCGACCCAGCACTGGAAACGTGCGAGATAGAAGAGGGCACGTTCTCAGTCGACTTTGGGGGACTTGCCAGCAAAGAGTTTGAGGCCCAAAACGGCTCCTCTTTGCGCAGGGGTCCCTCCACGTCAAACCATGGCTCGGAAACATTAAAGGTTATCGTATCGGCGCCTCTCTCGGGTGAAACTTCCGACGAGACGACGATGCGGCCTTACTCCATTGTCTCAAGCGACGCGGCTAGTATCCCGACGACGGACGCCAGTTCCAACAGTGATGCGGGCATGACGCCTTCAGAGATGGAGAGCCCCCCTGAGAAAGAACCCGGGTGGAGCGGTGCTTCAGCTGTCGAAGGGACGGGCGACCCGGCACCCGACGAAAGCTTTTTGATTTCCGATAACGAAATAAGCTTGCTTATGGGTAAGTACCAAGGCTTTCTCAGCGATCCGGTGGAACGTATTGAAGAAGAGGAAAGACCATGAAAAGAGAAGGCTGAAAAGGGGCCACCCTGGCAATGGCATAAATTTGCAGGAAAACATGGCTCTTTGAGATGTGCAGTGGAAAGGGGAAGTGACTAGGGTGAAGGAGATGAGAAGGCAGGGAGCCGGCAGCGTGCCCAAACCCGGGACTTTATTTTTATATTTGTTTTGTTTTTTTGGCATGTCATTTGGATTGCTTGCTTGCTTGCTTGCATGCTCGATGGATGGATTGATTGATACCCATTGCTTATTGTCATTACTAGTCCCAAGCAGACTACATACCTATGAAACATAGAACCAGGAAGCTCAAAGTTTTTTTTTTTTCAAGTTTATATCCTCGTAGTAATAGTATTGTTTAATGCCATCCCGGTACATTGGTATTGATAAGTAGTACTAAGGTATACACCAATCTCTCTCGCACACCCATTTACCGAGTCTTGCGTATGCGTGTGGAATCAATATTATAACAAAGGACCATTTCGTTCTTCCATTCAAATTTTATGCATGTCCCGAGTTGTATGCAAGAAACCCGGGTGGGGTGCCGCCACAGCTCGCCGTGGGGCGGTTCCTTGCCGCTGAGCCACGCAATTTGCCCAGCCCCAGCAGCTCCTCTTCTGCAGGCACTCCTCGTAACTGGAACCTCTACGGAGTCCAAGTCGCCCGCCTATAAGCAACGTTCGCATCATTTCACACGGGCGTTGGCGCGAGCTTCGTCATCACCTTTCGAGTTCTTTCAGCCAGCTTCCTTTGTCTGCGTCTGACGCCTGATTTCTTGCTTTGGGGCCTCAATTCTGCCCCTTGATTCACTCACTCGTGCTTCGCTCTCTCACTCTCTCGCTCTCGCTCTCGCTCTCGCTCTCTTTGACTTGCCTGCGTCTCGTTCGAGCTGCGGAGCTCTCGCGCTCCTCATTTTGAAACCTCCTGAGGCGACAGATATCCGACGACATCCGAGCGTGCCCACGGCGTTGACGATGTATTCCAACTCGAACGCCTTCTTAGGAGGCAACAGTCCTCGCCCGGGGACTGGACAGCAGCAGTATGGCGGTTCCTTTGGCGGTCTTGGGCCTGGCCAGCAGCCGGGTCAACAGCCAAGCCCCTTTGCGCCGCAGCCCACGGGCTTCGGACAGCAGCCATTGCAGCAGCAATACACCGGATATCCGCTGCAGGCCCAGCAGACGGGATACCAGCCGGCGCAGCAGCCGTTGCAGCAGCAGTATACCGGGTTTCCGGGACAGGCTCAGCCGCAGCAGCAGTTTCAGATATCGAGCGCCCCGCCAATGCCGTCGATTCCTACCCAATTCCAGCAGCAGTTTCAACAGCAGCAGCAACAGCAGCCGCCTCAACTTCAGCAGCAGGTGCCGCAGCCGACGGGATTTCCATCCGTGCCGCCGCCGCAGTCCAGCTCGACAATCTCTCCTCCTCCTCCTCCGATAAAGCCGCAGCCGACTGGGTTCGCAGAAGTGGCCGCGTCCTTCCAGACCGGCGGTACGGCCAAGCCCCAGGGACGAAGAGGCGAAAAGTCGCAGAGCAAGATCCCCAACATTAGGCTATCTTTCATCACCGCCGCGGATCAAGCAAAGTTCGAGACGCTCTTCAAGTCCGCTGTGGGAGATGGCTCGGCGACAATGTCGGGAGAAAAGGCCAGAGACCTTTTGATACGTTCCAAGTTGGATGGTGATTCCCTGTCACACATCTGGTAAGGAAACAAGCCATTGTTCTTCGCTACCATTCATGCAGAGACTAACAGAAGGCCATATAGGACTTTAGCGGATACCACGCGAGCGGGACAGCTATACTTTCCCGAATTCGCCCTTGCCATGTACCTTTGCAACTTGAAGCTCACGGGCAAGACGCTACCGCCAACCTTGCCCGACCATGTCAAAAACGAGGTGTCTAGCATGGTCGATATCATCGGCTTTAGCGTGGCAGATGAAGGCTCTTCTGCGGGCCAGGCGAGCAATGTGCCCACCATTGAACAGCCGAAGCCGCAACCACCACCGCCATCAAACTCGCAGCTTCTCCAAGCGCAGTTGACGGGCTTTCCTGGACAGCAACAGGCACAACAGCAAGGATTTGGAGGACAGTCGCAAGGTCTCCAACCTCAGCCAACGGGCTTCGCCAACTTACAAAATCCCCAGCCAACAGGATTCAATGGCCCTCTTCCTCCATTGCCCCCTATGCCTACCGGATACGGCGGCCCTGGTGGCATGGTAGCCCCATTGAATGCCCAACCCACAGGAATGCCAGGTCAATGGGGTCTTGTCAATGCTCCTGCATCTGGGTTGCCCAACATTGATGCGCTACAGGCTCGCATGATGCCTCAGGCGGGCCGTGAAGGTGGTACCTTTACCACGGCTGGCCTTCAGGGCAATGCCGTCATTCCGTGGGCCATTACCAAGGAAGAGAAGACCAGATACGATGCCCTCTTCAAAGCCTGGGATGGTCTTAGGAAGGGCTATATCGGTGGCGACACGGCCATTGAAATCTTCGGCCAAAGTGGCCTTGAGAAGCCCGACTTGGAGAGAGTCTGGACGTTGGCCGACCACGGCAACAAGGGCCGCCTGAACTTGGACGAATTTGCTGTCGCTATGCATTTAATCTACAGAAAGCTCAACGGATACCCCATGCCCAACGTGCTGCCTCCCGAGCTTGTCCCACCCTCTACTCGCAACTTCAGCCAGTCCATCGGCACCCTGAAGTCGATGTTGCATGAAGAGTCTGACTTGCGCAAGAACTCTGGTGCCGCCCTGCTGCCCCAAAAGACTGGCGTTAGTTATATGAAGAATCGGTCATTCCGAGGCGGCCCCAGCCCCGCTGCTGACGGACGCAAGGATGCTACAGTATTCAGGAATGACGATGAGGAGTTTGGATACAGGTCTAGCGCCCGCCGAAGGCTAGGAGGAGCCTCTCCCCGAGCCGAATCCCCGGCCGCGTCTTCTGTCGGCTCCAACGATGAGTTGACCCTGGATGAACTAAGGAAAAAGATTAGGGAGAAGCAGATCTTGCTCGACGCTATGGATTTCACTGATGAGAAGAATAATGAAGAGGACGACATCCTGGACCGACGCGATCGCCGCGAGGCAGAGGAACTCTACCGTCGCATCCGACGTATCCAAGATGATATTGATGCGCACCCAGACGCTGCACTGGCCGTTGGTAACTCGGATGCCGAGACGAGAGCTCTGAAGCGCCAGCTCCAGAATCTCACGGATAAGGTTCCCCAACTTGCATCCCAAGTCCGAAAGGCAGAAAAGGCCATCATGGAAGCAAGACTTGAGCTTTTCCGTCTCAAGGATGCCAAGGCTCACCCCGGCAGCGCGTCGTCCATTGTCGGAACCGGTCCCGGCGGATCAGTCACTGAGTCGGACCGGCTTAAGGCTCGAGCCAGGGCCATGATGCAGCAGAGAACTGCTGCTCTGACAGGCAAGAAGATTGAGACCACCTCTGAGGATTTTGATGCCCCCAAGAGGCTCGAGGAAGAGACCATCAAGGTTAAGAATGAAAAGGAGGGCAATGAGCGTATGGTCCGCGATGTTGAGGAAAGCGTCCGCGACTTCTCGCGCAGCATCGAAGACAGCCTCAACGACGCTGGGAAGGACAACAGCAGTGAGCATGAGAGACGTCGCTGGGAGGACGCTCTCGGTGTTGAGGATGAAGTTCGAGACTTCATCTTCGATCTCCAGCGCGAGAGCCGGGCAGCCCGCGTCCGGGCCCAAGATAAGCGCTCTACACGACCCTCGGCAGCAGACGAGCCTCGCCGAGAAAGAGCTGCTGCCGCAGCTCCCCAGCAGGACGAAAGTCCCGCTCCGGCTTCGCGTACTGCCACTCCTTCTTCTACAGCGGGTGGCGGTTCGTACTCTTCGTACAAGACGCCTGAGGAGCGTGCTGCCTTTATCAAGCAGCAAGCCGAACAGCGCATGGCTGAGCGTCTCGCAGCGCTGGGTATCAAGGCACCGACCAAGTCTGGAGAGACAGCTGCTCAGCGTATAGAGCGCGAGAGGGGCGAAAGAGCTGCCAAGTTACGTCAGGCTGAGGAGGAGGACGCCCGCCGAGAAGCTGAGCGACAGGCTCGCCTCGCTGAGGAACAGGGAGTCCCACCTCCGGCCGTGGAAGAGGCGCCGGCGGTTGCGGCTAAGAAGCCTCCGCCACCTCCGTCAAGAAAGGGAGGGAAGGCCGAAAATGATCGCGATGCAGCGAGAAAAGCAGAGGAAGAGGCTGCCAAGGCCGCCGAAGAGGAGCGCTTGGCTCGGGAGCATGAGCAGCAACAGAGGGAGGCCGAACAAATGAGGTATGTCATGAAGTATTCTATTGCCCTTTTTTTCAGTGATAGATCGCTAACGATTCTGGTTACAGGCAAAAAGTCGAAGAGGAGGAAGACGAATTCGAAAAGGAGCAACGTGAAGCTGCGGAACGGCTCAAGGCTCTGGAGGAACAGGTTCGACAAGGAAAGCTGCGAAAAGAAGAGGAGAAGAAGAAGAAGAAGGCAGCTGCGGCAGAAGCCAAGGAAAAGGAAGCCAAGCTGGCTGCTCGTCGTGCAGAGATGGAGGCTGCCAAACAGCGTGAACTTGAGCTGCAGCGCCAACTCGAGTCTATCAATGACGAGGATAGCTCGTCATCCGATGAAGACGAAGGCCAGCAACAGGCTACACCACAGGCTTCTACCCCCTCGCCTGAGCAGAGAGTGAGCTCACCACCTGCTCCCGTTGCCGTTGCCGTTGCCGCTCCCCCTTCGGCCGTCTCCCCTCCACCTGTTCCCACGGTGGTTACTTCTCCCCCCGCTGAGACGGAGAGCAAAAACCCTTACTTCAAAATGATGTCGCAATCATCAGAAGCATCTTCCCCAGCTGCGCCAAAGGAGGCAACAACACCTGCGGCTGACATTTCCACCAACCCGTTCCATCGCATGACGCAGGATATCAAGTCCGCCCCCGTGCCAACTCCCGCGCCCGCCCAGCCTTGGTCCCGCAAGCGAGCCGATTCCGACGACTGGGGCTCCGACAAGG